TCGGCCCCCCCCCCATCAGCACCCCCATTTCAAGACTTCTAGATACGCAACTTCCACTGGTGCCACCACTGTACTCTATGTCTGTCCAGTTTTCAATTGAAAGTAATAATATACTGAAATACACAAAGCAATCAAATGCAATATTGCATAAGACTTTTAAAGTTTATTTAACACACCAAAGATACAATACTATAAAATTTTCTTTGCGGACAAAAAACTGTTGTATGCCCATATATAGTCATGAAGTGCCTATATAAGGTCATGATGTGATATCATCATGACCGTATTTAGGCATATCACATATTTTGTCAACTAAAATTTTATAGTCTGGACAAGGCTTTAAACTACCCAATTTTTTCAACTCTTGTTGATTTCATTTCCACATAGATTATTAAAAAATCTTATGAGATTTTCATTCAACAGTAAAACTATACACTACTGGCATCAGATTTTTGTCTGTCCAACTTAAATGAAATTAGTCAAACTTTTTGATGGTCTACTTCCTCAGATAAAGTGAACCATCTGGTCATCCATCATATGTTGACAGGGGTCTCTCACATGTCTTTGAAATCTCCCAGAAATCGGGATTTTTTTCCCCCGTTATGTACTTAAAATAGAAAACATGTACAGTACCGGTATATATATTTAGTGGCAGATTAAAGGGGGCCTAGCTGGCCCTGGTACCCCCACCCCTCTAAATTTTTCAAAATTACAAAAAAAAAGGAGAATAAAGGAAAATTATTTTCAAAATTAAGCCTTAATCATACATTTTCTTACCTCAGCCCCAACGATGGTGGGGCTGAGGTAGTCTACACCCCATCTGGGAAAATCCCTCCCTGGGCCCCTCTATTAAGAATTCCTGTACCCGTCACTAATATTATTATTATGGTCACAGTGAAGTCAGTACCGACCATCGTCACCATGTGCAACAAATTACAAAAAGATGTTAAGGAAGCTCATTAAACCAGACCTCTTTAACGTGGCATCTTTCAACTTGGGACCCCTGTGTTGTGTATGATAAACAATCATCTGATAGTAATGTATAATTCTAGGCTTTTCTCTCACAAAATTACATTGGTATAGCATTCATTTAAAATCCTCCATTTTTAAAATATTTATAGTTATTCCCATGTACATCTCTGTTGTTGTACAAAAAATCTTGTTGGAAGTACATGTGAAGCTGATAATTTTACAATTATAAAACAACTTTGGCATGCAAACCCAATAAAATATATATTTATTATTCCTAGACTCCCGAAAAGCATTTGAAAGAAATTGGCTTGAAGATATTCCTGAAACCACCTAGGATAAAGTTAGAGTAGGTCTTACAGAACAATATATTACACAAAAAGGCTGTTTTATCCCCTACATTATTTTGTTGCTATTAAAATTTATGAAAGCGTTTCACAGCTTTCACAAAATAAAAAAGATAATTTTTTTATGATAACGATAAACCTCAAAAGGTAACTTAGGATGGACATAATTACTGAAAATCCATGAATTTATAAATAATAAATTCTTAAAATAAGTAATAAACTATCTAGAACTTGGTTCAGCGTAACTGTAACCTTGATCTATTAAAATTTAAGCTTAAAATTTATGCAAAAATATTTCTATTTGATTGTTTTCGATAAAAAAAAAAACAAAACAAAACAAGAAAAAAAAATAAAAAACAATGAACAATAAATCAAGTTTGAATACAATGACCTTTGATGAAAGAACCGATCGAAAGCAACAATATCTGGTCATTGTACCATGTGTGCCAAGTCAGTGAAAGAGAAAATTAGAAGGAGTCACAGCTATCCACTTTAAAACATGATTTAAAGATTGATTGAGTGAATGAGTTATTGAGTAACCAAGCTATATATTTTCAAACCATACTTAAATATGATGCTTTTCACCATGTCAGTTTCTCTGTGCTGGCATATTCTATTAGTGATTGCCTTAATGGCAGCTTGCCTCATTTAGACCTACTGTAAGTGGTTGCTGATTATTATTATTAGAATGCACTGAACATGTGATTTTAACAATAAGTCATGTGACAATAAGTCATATGCCAACAGGTCATGTGACCATGTGTCATGTGCCAACAGGTTATGTGGTATTAGCCATGTAACATCAAGTTTTTCACCATTTTTGCTTTTCCTTAAGAAAATGCTTTCATATTCCATATATTCACAACTGCAATACTTACAATGAAAGTATACTACATATGTCAGAGTCATTCTCGTACAGTTCATACTATAATAATACAGAATTTGCTATGTGCTTGAGTTGCCCAAATCATTGGTTACAGAAGTCTAGCACTGACAAATTTCATTCCAATTATTCATATCTTACAAGGTACCTATTTTATACTCCTAGTTTGGGAGTGACACAAGTAAACAAAGTGGTCCTATCCCAGTACACAAGCAATGTGTCCAGCACCCGATTCGAACTCAGAACCATTCAGTTAGAAGGCCGAAGCTTTACTGGTGTGCCACATATTGGATTGTGACAGCAGGTCTTTAAGACAATTCCTACTTTATTTATTTTCATTTTGTTTTTTTAGTTCCTTTTTATTCATTTAGAAGGCACTTAGTTGAGGGAGTGCCAATAGCAAACTTAAATCACTGCCTTATCAGTGGCAATCCCATTTACAAGACAAACGTGCACACATGCTCTACATACCATACTCGCGCAAATAAGCACCCCTCTCGAATAAGCGCACCCTTCTAATTTGAATAAGCGCCCCTCAATATAATCATAAGATTTTCTTTTTAGCAAGTCAATAATCCAATCAATCCTGGGACTGTGGTTACTGGCATGATTTGAGCTGCAAAGTGGAATCACATTCTTCTTAGGTCAATATCAAAATGAGGATATTCCTCTTGAACAGATGAGAGCTCCGATCCCAGGACAGACAGTATATTTTTAACTTTCCTCTTCTTTATATTTGTCTAGATCTAGTCCTACTCCTCTTTTACATTTTCCGACAATTTGCACCTTTAGCACATTCTCATCTGAGCTTTAAAAAAAACCTGCAATGATCCTGGCATCCTGTTAATCTCAATTATATATTCGAGACGAGTAGGGGGTTACCCCGGTGTACTGGAACAGACAGCCCCTGTGGTGGACGACGAGAGTTACTGGTACCGGGTTACCGGGTAGCACAGACACGAAGGGACCCTTAGGGGCAAAGAAAGTCATTGGTCGAGTTCCTTGTCCACATTTCAAGCGCCCTGAGCATCTTACATTAGATGGATATGTGCGCTATATAAAACTACACTATTGTATCATATAATCTTTTTTCATTCAAAAATTGCCTCTTGAATTTAACAAGTTCCCATAAGAGCCCCTCGATTTTCATCTACTTCCATAAGCGCCCCCTCAATTTCCACTCTGTTTTCATAAGCGCCCAGTTTAAATAAGCGTCCCTCAAAAAGTGCACAAAAATATTTTAAGCGCCCAGGCGTTTATTCGCGCAAGTACGGTAAATTCACTCTTGAATGTAAAATGAAACAAAGGAAGTATAATTGTTTGCAGCAATGAGAAAAAAAAAAAAATTTTGCAGGATAGACCTATGCAATGCTCTTAGCATGGTGACTGCCAAGTCTTTTTCCCAGTCCCTTCCTATATGCCAAAGCATAAAGTGCGCCACCATACGAAAATCATTTCCATATTTCCATCAACTGTAGTGAAACACGAACAAATATATGGTAGTTATTTTTAGGTCATTAATTCCGGGTCCTCTAAGCTGCCAGGGTGAGAGTTTGTCTTCTGGAGACCACTGCCAGCGAGTGTACGTGCAATATAATAGTGGTTTGTTGGACAGGTGCGGACATGAACTCACGCCATTGGTGGCCTGAATCAACCCTGTCGGATGTGAACTCACGTACCTGGCAGCAAACAATGTTAAAAACAATGCTCATTATGAGCCTTAGGAAATTCACCTGGAATTATACAGAATTTGGACCCAAAAACTGGAATTCCAAATCCGGAAATTGAGAGACGTACTGTACACCTTAATCGCCAGCTACAGCCTCACTAGAGTTCCAAATCTCAAGAATAAACGTTCAATCTGACAATAAACGCTGCACGCTACAAATCTCCTGTTACCACCGAGTGTTCATGTGAGAAGTCATAATCAAATTTCTTTGGCTCAAAAGTTTTTAGTGACGGGATGCTCATGTCGCTAAGTGTACTGGTGCCACCAAAAATGAGAGTTGCCGATGATGAAAGTTTAAACGGTACACCACTTAATGCCGAACATGCATTTGCTAACTGATCAGGTGTATGGCATGACTGAGTTGCACTACGTCCAGACTGGAATGAATTTGATGGGGATGATGCCTGTTCAGCAGAGCTACCATATAGATCAACAGTCATTGTAGGAGATGCTTGAGAACACAGAGCATACTAAAGGAAGCAAAAGAGAGAAAAAAAATTATAAGCAACCTGTACATGACAATCATTCTGATGACTATAGACTGATCCATTTACAGTGATTATCTCGCTCTGTAGACGCCATAGCTGGGGGATTCTAGTGGGGGATTCTTATGCATCATCTGTAACTAATGTAGATATTGGAATTATTGTATGTACATGTTGTTTCTACTCTATTTACTCAATCTACTCTACATAATTAGTACCAATGTACATGGACATTATATGCATGCATGGATCCCCAGCAATGGTGGCGCCAATAGTCAGCGCCTTTTCCTTATTGGATTTGTCTATAGTTCATATAGTTGTCAAAACTTCTTAGTAAAAATAGGAAGCTTGGAGAATGTTTCGATTTTAAATTTTATTTCAATATTGTATTGCTGCAGAAGCCATCCATGTACTAAAAAAATTAATGACAATACAAAATAATGACCTGCTGTATGCATAAATTTACTAAATCCTGGGGTAGGGACATCACTCTACTTATGTCGTAATGATCGCATACCCCAACCTAATCAAACAATGCATCCATAGGTAGGGACATACTCTACTGAGGCACTAATAACCTGCATACCCCAACTTAATCATCCAGAGGTCCAGGGACATTATCCACTAAGGTCCTTATGACCTACTGTAGATCAGTGTTATGTAACCTATTCTCAGCCTGGGGACCACTTCCTACATCATGAACAAATTTGCAGACCACTCCATACTAATATTCATAGTCATCAAACCTATACTGACACAGTAGAATCATTTTTTTTTTTAAATTTTGACATAGGGAGAGCATCATTTAAGCCAGTGGTTATGCCACACTGATAGAATAAATTAAGAGAAACAAGTTCTGCCCTGTCTGCAATAAGCTTTTTGAGCACAATATCGCCAATGAGTCTCTTAATGAACTAGGCCTAAACGCTGAAGTTTAAAAGCAAAAAATCAAATGATGTGTCATTGAGATATTGATTATTAACTCAAAAACTTTACAAAGTAAGGTTTTGAATGACGACAATAAAATTCTAATGGCTCCCTTGAGCTAATCACTAATATATTCTTGGCTTCTACGCTTGTTATTCCATCTGTTGCGTGTAAACATCACCCAGACAGAAATAACCAAGGTGTGTTACAGACTAATACAACAGTGGACCACTCCACGTTTGGCGACCACTTCAATTTCTTGCGGACCACCCACGGACCCTTAGTGTTTGACAGACCACCAATAATTTTTGGCGAACCACCAAGTGGTCCGCAGACAACGGGTTGCATAATACTGACTTAACCTAATCAAACTATGCATTATGGAACATTTCTATGATCACATAATTGAGAGCAAAGTAGTTTATTATCCATGAAAGTAAAAGAATCAGTACAAAGGTAGGTAATTTCCTGATGAGAAAAAAATGAATAAGAAATATTCAAGGAGAGGCAATGAAAAAAAATGTAATCATTCAATAACGAGTAACTTGCCAATTATACTAACATCAAAAATACATTCTGTAATCTATTAATACCAAGTTCAAAGCTGTGTTTGCATTAAATGTCATTTTTAATGGGTTATTCTCCCATGGCCAAAAATGAAACATATCATTAAAACTATGAAATGTTAACATTGATTATAAATTGTTAGAACATGTTTATACAATAAGTAGGCTTAAGAATTCTATAATTATATGCTGAAAGAGAGGAAGATGCACTATGTAGTGTGTTAAGAATAAGCCACATACAAACAGTCACTGAGCAGAGACTTGTATAAAAGGATCATGCTGTTTTTATTAGATTTTTCTGCTCAGTGTATAATTAATCTAACCTGGTTACTGTATAATTCTCTGACGCACAATTTCATTACTATGAAGCATTGAGCTTCACCAGTGGAATCCTCTCAGACAGTTCACATTAGCTACAGTAAGTTGAATTTAAATTATCCTGAACTCGAATCCTAGTAATTTTGACAAAAAAGTCCAATCAGGGCTGTGAAAACTTACTTTTTTCTGCCAGACCCGGTTCTGGTTGGCCTAATATATAATTACTAGCCCAGACTTTATTTTTACTAGACCCAGTTTGCAAACCTGCTACATGATGCATTTTTATATTTTCATGATTTAAACACAAAAATACAAAACACTGTGATACTCGGTCTAACAAAGAACAGGACAGCTAATAAATATAAAATACTATACAATTAGATTCCAGACACTCTTATTATTGTTGTACAGTAGGCCCAGCCATGTTTTATGGCAGTGAACATGTTTTGTTATAAACAGTCAAAGCCATCAGTCTGATTCCCCTGTATTTTCAGCTAGCCCGGCCTAAAGAAGTTGAGTCCCAGACCTGGGACACAGACTTTTTACATCCCTGAAAATGTAAACACAGATTTAGCCATCTGGCTAGAATGGTAATTTTTCGTTTTGTTTATTTATTCAACCAATAACAACAAAAAATGATCACAGAAAGCCTAAGCAAGTTAATAACACTTTCAAGTCAGCAGCCCCTAAAAAAAAATATATTTCAATATTAAATATAAACAAAATTTAAGGAATAATCACAAAAGACACTGGATAAAAATCAATAAAAAAGAAAACATTTGAACAAAAAGTTAAAAGGTGCTGAATTGTGTATAGGCACGGTCCATGAGTACATAGCAGCAGTAAAGAGGTGCTTTATGGTAGATACACGTTCACATCATTCCACAACAGGAGGGGCTGAAATGAACCAAAGCATCGGGGTAACCTCCTACTCTTCCGAAAGATACAATGGGCTTTTTAAAGTGCACACGAGCCAGATGTATACACTGGACCTCCATTTGAAGTCCTTATCCGAGAAGGCTTCGTTCTACTAACCAAAAACCCTGTCTGATCAAATTTTCCACACAAAATTGACTAAGCTGGGTAGGCATCATTTTCCACACGAACGCTATTTGTTTTTAGCATGCCCAGACAGACAACACCGATTACAATGTCATGATGGGAATTCCCAGGAAGTTATACCTTGCACACGAGCCAAATGTATACAACGGACCTCCATTTGAAGTCCTTATCCGAGAAGGCTTCGTTCTACTAACCAAAACCCTGTCTGATCAAATTTTCCATACAAAATTGACTAAGCTGGGTAGGCATCATTTTCCACACGAACGCTATTTGTTTTTAGCATGCCCAGACAAACAACACCGATTACAATGTCATGAAGGGAATTCCCAGGAAGTTATACCTTGCACACGAGCCAGATGTATACACTGGACCTCCATTTGAAGTCCTTATCCGAGAAGGCTTCGTTCTACTAACCAAACACTAAACGAGGAGCGGCTGGAACCAGTGCCAATGTTCATGCTGTAGTTAGCGGCGCACCTGCCTTACTGCTCATCTACTCGACTCGGCCAAAGTAAACATTAACATAATAAATTGAAAAAATGACAACAAAGTCTCAGAAAGTAAAATGTTACATAGTCTGGTAAGCAAGAAAGTGAGAATGAAAAAGTGTAAAAAAGACCCAAGTGATTTGCAGGTCAACATTAAGACTATTGGGAAAAACTTGACCAAATCCAAGGAAATAGAAAAATAACAGAATTATGATGAACCATGATTATAACCCAGGAAGGTAAGAATCTGAACCAGCAAGTTACAGCCTCAACACCCAGCTTTGATACATGACTAAGAAATATTCTTACTTCTTCATGCTCCTCATCATACTTCTGTGGAAAAACACATGTAGAATAAAAAATTGTATTTCACCATTTAGGAATAAATTACATAATGTACAGTTGCCAGCTTTCATAATAAAAACTGAAATTGTTGGACTTGATTTGAATTTATCTGTAAAAAAAAAAAATCTGTTCATTACTGTAAAATATATCAAGTCAAACCTTATCAAGATCTATATAAGTAGGTATAGTATTGTAAAGTATAGTGGAGGGGAAAACAAAATGGAAGCAGGGCAAAAAAAATACCTGGCTAAATGACATCAAATCCAGATAGACAATTAGCATGGAAGATTTTCACCAACAAATTAGAGACATCTCTTTGGCACAATATGGTACAGCAGTAGCCAATCTTTATTGAACAGGATACTCCAAGCGTAGGATTTCCTCAAAATGAAGATGATGATAAGAGGGAAATTCAATGTTTAATTAGAATTTAATTAGGATTAAAAGTTTCACCTCTAAATTTATCACACACAGTACTGTATACCATTACAGTTACAGTAGAACCGTGGTTGCACGAATTAATTACTTTCTTACTATACTTCATGTGAAAACCCTGTTTGATCAAATTTTCCACACAAAATTGACTAAGCTGGGTAGGCATCATTTTCCACATGAATGCTATTTGTTTTTAGCATGCCCAGACAGACAACACCGATTACAATGTCATGATGGGAATTCCCAGGAAGTTTAATATACCTTTGTCATATAGGCATTTCTTAAAATATTTTCATGTTTTATAGTTAAAATTGATATAAAGTGATGATATACTAGACACATGGTTATATTTGAACACTTTATAACATTGTAATTCGAGACACTTAACACATGGTTACAATTTGTAGGCCTAGGCCACTTTTTGACTCTATATATATCATGTATAGTATAGGCCTAGGTAACGTTGTCAGTTCATATCATGTTCATTAACATGTTAACATTAACGTCTTACCTACGTATTAAGTCAAGGGTCACCACAAATTTAACCCAACCTTGGTTTTACGAATCCCCGTATTTACGTACGCCTCCGGTACCACACCATACCGGTATGTAAAAACGAGGTTTTACTGTACTGTAACGATAAACTGATAAAATAGTATAAAATTAAATTGATTCTTACCTGTTGGCGCTCCTCATAAGAGGGAGGAAATGCTAATGGCTTGATTGTGTTTCTTTCTTTTTCTGTTTCTCCTACCATTAGGAACCCATCTTGCTCTTCCTGGTTCTCATCTTCTACTTCTTGGCTTCCATATCCAAGACTGACTGTTCTTTGAAGGTTTTCAAAGGCTCTTTTGTTTTCTCTCGATTGCTGTGTTTTCTTGAAAATTGAGGAAAACATGACACACTAAGACACGGATGTCAGCTACATCAAGTAGTTGTAAGGTGACCTGGAGAACAACAAACAGGAAAATACACATATCATAAAATACTACTGTAAATGTTATACAATTTTTAAAGGGCTTCAGTGCTCCTATTTTGAAGCAGGTGCTTATTCGAGAGTAGTGCTTATTACAAATAATTTTAGTGTAAAATGGTACCAAGTTTGGGGGCTATCTGATGTTGAGAAATGATGAAAAATCAGTTATTTAACAGTATTTCAATGATACAAAACATCAAAGCATGTTAGGTACTGTATGTACTCTGGTGGAAGACGAGAATTGCTGGTTCCTGGTTACCGGGTAGCACAGACACAAATAGACCCTTAGGGGCGAAGAAAGTCATTGATCGAGTTCGTAGTCGACATATCAAGTGCCTTGAGCATCTAACATTAAATGGATATGTGCGCTATATAAAAAAACACTATTATTATTACTATAATTATTATTATTATTATTATTATTATTATTATTATTATTATTATTACTCTTGATAAATCATTTTGAAATTTATTCTGATAAAATTTACCTCTAATAGACCAGCAAAGCTGACCAATTTCCAACAAATTTTGGCATATGTTTAGTATTGAGCACTTTATCAGCTAATACTGAACCACTGTAAAGTATATTAAAATATATTATTACAAGCAAATTTTAATATATATTAGCTATATCTTTTTATATAGAATAGATGAATGTGGGTTTGAAATTAATTTGATATTAACTTGCAAGGGTAGAATTTTAATGGCTCTAGACATACTTTTACTTCTTCAGCTAACCTGTATTGAGGATAGCATACCAAGATCATATACGGTACCATAGCTTACAGTTGTCATACTGCCTATGAAAGAGAAAGGATCAAAGAATTGATTGCTATTTTCATGGGTAAAGATGATGGGTGTCACAGTTTCAATATTAATTGTTGTATTAAGGACACCAGAATATTGTAGTTGACAGTGCTCAAATAACACCTCGAGGGCCTCAGTGAACTGAATACCTGTGTACTGTCATAATAGGAAAAAGTTGAGTAGAAGTGCTGTAGCTTTATGTTATGCTTGCCTTCTAATCCTGGGTTCAAATCCTGTCAGATAATGAATAATTTTATTTTATCATTCTTTCTAACTTTCAGAACTTAAAAATAAAACTCAATATCTCAATTGCTTACTTTGCATTTCAATAAGGTTTTCACTTTTATTTTAAAACGCTGACCTTTTTTTCGCATAAATAAATAAGCTTCCAGTATTTGACGATAAAAAACAAAAGGTACATCAGTAAAAACTTATATTGTGTCTCATTGTAAATTGGTAACTTTGATAATTGTAAATGAGTTGAGACTTTTTTATATACGTTTTTGACAAAAATAAAATTATATTTTTATTCTAAATCATCATTATTGGCAGGCAGTGGGTTTATCACTAAACAAGTTATAAAAAAGTCTAGTTTGAGCAATGAAAACAACAAATTATATAGCACTTTAGACTTTTTGAGCTTATATAATTATATATTCATAAATATATATTTTATTCTTAATACATTCTGTAAATGCTGGGGTTACCTGCTGTTGGATGAGATATGAAATAAAATAATAGACAGGCTTGTAAAACATGAACATATTTTTTCAATGACACGAAAAAAAAAATCATTTTTATTTGCACTTATTTTTTTGATAATGTTGAACTATTGATAATGAAGAACTATATTATGGGAAATCGCAAGTTATTGTCATTTTATAAAAATATTTCATTTCAATTATCAGGAAAACAACATCATTTTCCCATATTTTTTTTTTAAGTTTTCAAACTTAACACAAAAACAACTGAATCAAGTTTCTTTAATTCCAAACAGACTACCAATGATACTGTAGGGCCTAACTAGTTAACTATTGTATCACCCTAGTTCTTATCTTTTTGGACCCTTGTTTGAACAATTTATGTTTTAGTCAATTTCTTCTACAGCTTAAATTTCAGTCTCATCTACATCAAATCAGGCAAGCCTATTGATACCACAACCGATAAAGGTTAGAGTACTGTAAACCTTCAGTACAGTATTTGTGCATTGGATATAAAGCAATTAATGAAAAATTGTTTACCTTGAAGAGGTGGGTAAATTCTCAATTTTGATAGAAATTAATATGTTAATTGTAATTCATATCATACATATCGATCATTTTCCACTTTTGAAATGGCCAGTCTATTGGCTTCCAGGTGGCGAAGGCCCAGGACCCCTACTTGGGGTGGGGTCACTTACTTGATTGAAAGGAGAATTATTTTTCAGATGATCAAAATTAATAGCATATTGTGCAGATAGTTCTATGCTCTCATTTTCACCGAGTACAAGGCTGAAAGCCCGCAAAACCCCTACAATACCAAAGCTATGATCTTAGATTTGACCCTGACTTCTGAGGGAAGAAACATAGAGGAATCCAATTGCTAATGTAGGACACGCAAGTTTTCGATCAAGTTGACAAAAGAACTTTAACAATAACATGAAGCAAGAAGCATGAAATATGAACAGAAAACAAAACTGGTACAGTAGACTCTTTGGAGTAAATAGGATGAAATTTACACCCACTAAAAATATTTTATTATAGTAATTGTTTTGTTATTCCAAAAATAAAATTTCAAAATACCAGTACATGGTACTTGGTTAGTATGTAATCCAATCATTACAAAGTTCTCCTAGCTATTCATGTGGTGTTGCTATAGGCCTACTTTATTGTACAGTAAGCTGACCCACCACCAATTTCTAAAGAATGACCATAGGCCTACTTTCATGTTCAATCGAAATACTGTAGGCCTTTAGGCTTTATTGGGTTATCCTGAAAAATCCCAATAAAATTTCTATTTTGATATTCATTTTTTAGGCCTTTTATTTACTTTTCTTTATCAATGTTTCGATGTAGTTGTTTGTGCAATGCTTTTCTGAATAAACTCAAATCAAATCAAATCAATGATATTTCATAAATTTACTGTATGGTCCCACTAGTACCAGAGAAGAAGCATCACAAATCATCAAATATCGTAGTGGTTGTTGGCATGACTATGGTTGTTGGCATGATTTGAGCTGCAGAGTGGAATCACATTTTTCTTTAGGTCAATATCGAAATGAGGATATTACTCTTGGACAGATGAGAGCTCCGATCCCTGGACAGACAGTATATTTTCAACTTTAATCATCTTATATATTTGTCTAGGCCTAGTCCTACTGTACTCCTCTTTTTCATTTTTCAACAATTTGTACCTTTAGCACATTTTTTTCAAGAAAACCTGCAATGATCCTGCCATCCTGCTAATCTCAATCGGCCGATGGCCAACTAGCTAACCACTACCCACCACCACTAATTGCATCTGCTATTCTGCTGTTATATAAATATTCACAGTCATTCTTGTCATAAGCCATGTTCTCTGGACGATTATCTTTTCTGCCACACCCCCATTTGTCATGTCCTTACATAATCTTCTTTCACTCAAAAAGAGCCTCTTGAATTTAATAAGTTCCCATACAGTAAGAACCCCTCGATTTTCATCTATTTCCATAAGCGTCCTCCCCAATTTCCACCCTGTTTTTATAAGCGCCCGTCTTTAAACAAGTGCCCCTCAAAAAGTGCAAAAAATATTTTAAGCGCCCGTGCGCTTATTTGCATGAGTACGGTACTTCATGAATAAATATGTATATAGAAAAAAAAAAATTGTGCTGTCTTCTTTTGTACACCTATCCCATGCCCCTCCCCACCCCAGCCCACTCTTCATAACAGGTTGATCCAATTGGTGGGAGGGATGTTTATGACAAGTTGATTATAAATTGCCTTTCAATTGTCACGTGACTGCTATGTGTACAGTTTGAGTTTCTTCTTTACACTAGGTCAGAGTATGCTGAGCTTTAAACTCATCCTTTAATTATTTTAATAAAAACTACTGAAATTTAAAATGCCATGTATTGAAGCTTGTCTTATCATTTCGACTTTAAATTAGAAAGAAAGTATACTCAAAATATACATTGATAAGAAAAATACTATGGGACACATCTGGCCGATAATTTTTTAGCATGTTAACAATCACTAAATAGTGGACCTCTGAACACCTTCTGTAATACATCATACCACAGATTATGATATAGTGATTATGTAAGGGGGCAAAGTCTAGCATTGCACATGAAGATAGTTGAGCCATGTATTAATCATGCTGAGTGAACAATGAATTTAGTCAAATTTAGATTGAGTGTTTTTGTGTGAATTACACCAAGGAGTAGGGTCCTGGTGATAAATTGTAGGCCTACACAGGGAGACAATCCCCTACTATTTACTGCATTACTGTACACATACGCCATACTGAATTGTGCGCTTTATAAATCTTATTATTACTATTATTATTATTGACCAATATGCTAAAACGTCTCATCTGAAAGACAGTTCATGGATTCAGACAATACTGATTTCAATACATCTTTCTTCAATCCATTATGCAATCTCACTTTTTAATGCAATATAATACACCATGAAAATAATAATACAAAATGAAATATGATGATAATTTCCCCGCAACTTTCTGGTTTGATTATATCTTCGGGTCAGACCCAGTTACATTTAGGCACCACAGGGACACAATAATACAAAATATATAACAAAACAAGTGAACATTTACTATGGTTGACAAAATATATCAATTTCAAAAGACATACAATACGACAACTTGCTTATTTATATATTTGCTAAAGTTGTAATATGCTTTGTATGCTTTCCTTCTCATATTCTTATATTAAATAAGTAAATAAGATAAGAAATAAGTGTTAAATGTTTGTCTCATGGTTCTAGAATTGTCATGGTTACCGGTAAGCTCGTTTTAATGTTGTTCCTTTTTTGGTAAACCCGTACCCACAAATTTGGTAAACCCGTACCCAAAATTTTGGTCAAACCGTACACACCATACACTAACCTGTACCCAAGTTTGAAGAATGATATTTTTACTAACTATAATAAAACGTTTTGCAAACTGTATTGTATATTAGATAGTAACGTGGGTACGGATTGACCAAAATTTGGGTACGGGTTGGTATGGGTACGGGTTTGTTTGGGTACGGATTGACCAAAATTTGGGTACGAGTTGGTATGGGTACGGGTTTGTTTGGGTACGGATTGACTGACAACCAGGCCTAGCCTAGGTTTGTAGGCCTAGCCTAGGCCTATCCTATACCAAAAAAAAAACTTAGCTAGGCCTAGGCCTTGGCTTGTTTTATTAAATCCGGGCAAGCTAAGCTAGGAGGCTAGTAGTAGTACCTGACTATCCATCATGTATTCTAAATTTTGACCTTACCATACCTTTTGGTTTCTCAGAAACGGTACATTTTTTCATTACGCCTTTGGTACCATCTGTTGTTGATGTTTCGCAAGTAAAACACAACCTCTACGACCTCTTGATACTAAAAATAATTTTGGTCAAACGAGCGCCCTCGGACTGTAAAAACTGATGAGCGCGCGAAGCAAGGACAGCGAAGTGCGCGAAATTATTCGAATATAAGTCGAGCAACATAAACAAAAGCATAAGTTGAAAATGGCAGAAGGACAAGCTAATCCACGTGTTAACGCATCGATGCTGCCAAGATATGAGGGATGTTTGGTTAATTTACTTGGAAAAGTGAAAAGTGTGAGTTGGCTTACTTCTTTGTCTTTAGTTACCTAGGCCTAGGCCTAGTATTACCTATGGCTAGGCCCTACCTAGGCCTAGCTTCTATACTCACTGACCAGCCTAGCTAGCCAAGGCCCACTCAGTCGAATGACGTCCGGTTCGGCCGTACACTTGTTCGGCCGTAATATATTTGTATGGAACGCCAAATAGGCACAGAGCTGTGCGTATGCTATGTGTGTGTGGTTAACAATCTCCCTATTGATTGTAATCTATTGCTACTGTATCCATGATTTCTTGTGGGAAAACAGTAGATTTTTATTACGTTTGTGTTAGTTAATAATGTTTTTTTGCAAGTTAGTAATACTAATACTTATGATTTAACATTATTATGTTATTATACTGATAATCAAACCAATGGATTTTATGATTTTTATATAGCATCTATCGATGTATATGTTAATATTATTGCCACAATTTACATAGTTACATTTTAATATGTTGATTAATATACTGCTAAACCTAAAATTACGCTTATTATACATAGGTCTACATAATGCAAGATTAATTAGTTATATCCAAAATACAATATTAATGTTTCAGATTCATATAGGCTCCTATTTCGTTTTATCATTTGAAACAAACGAATTTTCGTTATTATGTAATCATTCATATTTTGATAATCAAACCAAGTGAAATGGAATTTACTATTTTGTGTGTGTGGTTAATCTATTGCTATATAGGCCTAGTTAAGATTCATATATTTCGTCAGAGATATACTGTGCTGTACAGTATATTTGAAACTGTACGAATGTACATTATTATGCATTCATATATGTTAATAATCAAACAAAATTTTATATATTTTGTATTACAATAATGCTACCGTATAGTCGATATAATCATTGAAGAATAATGTTGATAATTTTAATATACTGCCAGTGTATTTTACTGCATTTATCTTAATATCATTGGAGCTTACAATATTATTGATGCTTTATGTTTCGTTGAATAAACACATTTTTAATTAATTTGAATAATGTAAATTGTAATAATTTTATTTTTATTAACTTTCAATTTATTTGATATTGTCTTTCCATATTGTAGATATTGTAGAAATCTTCAAATAATACAGTATAATAATATGATAATACAATAATAATAATCTTTCTCTACAACCAAGCACTTTAAGTTAACTGTAAACGCCCTTTATTGAAAAAATAACAATAGAATACACATTTCCGTGGTGACGTTTTTTACCGTCTTGCGTTCGGGGACAAAACATGCATATTTTGACGGACGTGTATGCAAAGCGAATTCACCAACTGATTACAGATTTAACAAACAATATTACTGTTATAATAACACACACCAGAAGTTGATCACAATTCAATTAGTTACCACTACTTAATTAATTATATACTTTATTCCAAAATACAAATACATTTGCTTCTTGATAAGTTACAAATTTAAGTAAATTATTAAGTAATAATAATATACTTTAACTAAAAATTATGCTATTAAAAACTACTCCGTAAAAAATAATGTACTAAATACAATAGTCTAAACGGTACAGTATTATTAGAAATAAAAAGAAACAACACATTTTCATTAGTAAGCGTTATTTTTATTATAAGGTTCCCGTGTACCACCAGTAGAAGTAAAAACAAACAACACATTTTCATAAGTAATCGTTATTTTTATTATTAGGTTCCCGTGTACCACCAGTAGAAGTAAAAACAAACAACGCATTTTCATTAGTAATCATTATTTTTATTATTAGGTTCTCGTGTACCACCAGTAGAAGTAAAAACAAACAACACATTTTCATTAGTAATCGTTATTTTTATTATAAGGTTCCCGTGTACCACCAGTAGAAGTAAAAACAAACAACACATTTTCATTAGTAATCGTTATTTTTATTATTAGGTTCTCGTGTACCACGGTCATTCGAAGTAAAAACAAACAAAACAGTCTTATTAGTAAGCGTTATTTTTATTATAAGGTTCCCGTGTACCACCAGTAGAAGTAAAAACAAACAACACATTTCCATAAGTAATCGTTATTTTTATTATTAGGTTCCCGTGTACCACCAGTAGAAGTAAAAACAACACATTTTCATTAGTAATCGTTATTTTTATTATAAGGTTCCCGTGTACCACCAGTAGAAGTAAAAACAAACAACGCATTTTCATTAGTAATCATTATTTTTATTATTAGGTTCTCGTGTACCACCAGTAGAAGTAAAAACAAACAACACATTTTCATTAGTAATCGTTATTTTTATTATTAGGTTCCCGTTTACCACCAGTAGAAGTAAAAACAAACAACACATTTTCATTAGTAATCGTTATTTTTATTATAAGGTTCCCGTGTACCACCAGTAGAAGTAAAAACAAACAACACATTTTTATTAGTAATCGTTATTTTTATTATAAGGTTCCCCTGCACCACCACCTAACCCGCAGTCAACATTGCACTGTACAGTACAGTGACATCCAATTCACGCTTTGATTATACACTACACGGCGTTCCATACATTAACCCTTATTTGGGCAATAAATATCATACGGCCGAACAAGTGTACGGCCGAACCGGTCCTACACCACTCAGTCATGATACCTGATGACTGAGGCAGTGGCTAGCTAGCCTCATACCTAGGCGTAGGCTAGCCTAGACAGTGTGGTAGCTGGTCAAAACGGTAATAAATGGCAGTGACCAGAACGGCAATAATCCAAAACGGAAGTGATCAATGAATAAAGTACCAAAACGGCAACAGACCAAAAACAGCAATAATGATGATAATATTACTAGGCCTAACCAAATAAATAGAATAGGCATAGCCATAGAATAGGCATAGCCATAGAATAGGCCTACCTAGGCCTAGACCAAAACGGCAAAGAAGCAAAATCAATGACAATACCAAGACTCTTGGCAAGAGCAAGTGCTGCAGTTTATAATTTTCCAAATCGTCTTGGAAATGCCCCGATCATCTGTAGGCAAACAGAATATTGCCATGGGCTCTTTTTCCCAATTCTAATGTTTAATTGGTTTTTTATTTAACATAACCATGACAAATTGTTTAGATGCCTCACTGTTTCCACCCAATCCTTTAATTATTATTATTATTATTATTATTATTATTATTATTATTATTTTTAATCGCTTTTTAAAAAACTATTTTTACACATCCATGACGAATTGTTTAGATGCCTCATTTCGTCTGTATTTCAAAGTTATATTTATTTGAATATTTACTGCTTTTATATTGTGTTCCCTCAATCATTTTATTTAATATTAAATTTTTATATGTTATATTGTTATTAATAGGCCTATTATTATTAATTTTATCATTATTAATGTTTTTTTTTTAGTTTTTACTTAGTCTATGACACAAATTGTTTTAGCTTCATTTTTTCTGTATTTTAAAGTTTTATTTATTTATTTGATTTGGTTTATTGCCGTTTGATTATTGTCGTTTTGGTTTATTGCCGCTTTGGTTTATTGCTGTTTTGGCCCAGTGTCGTTCTGATAAAAACGTGTTTGCCGTTTTAATTTATTGGCATTTTGGTCATTGCCTTGACTTGAAAGCGACAGTGGCCATCAAATTCTTGTTTAGGGCTGGATAGTCTAGATAGTGTAATTTTAGACAATGTCTAGGCTTAGACAGGTAACACTGAACATTGCACTAGGCCTACTTAGTCTATGGACTGGTAGAGTACAGACAGTATATTGTTATTGTGTGTAAATTATACAGATTATTTCTTAATGTACCTACCAACCTATCAAATTCCACAGCTCACAAAGTCTTCTTTGCTAATTCAGCCCTCAAAATGCATCTCTTTTCAAATGGTGAATTGTGTATCTTGTTTTTAACACCTGCATAATGAGTGTATAAATGTTCATATTTAATTATTATTCATTAATTTTTGAGTCCTATATATTTGTTATTTATAGGTTGATCAAAATGGTACATCCTTTGTGTTAACATCTACAGATAATATTGATATTGAAATATTACTTCCAGAATCGGTAAGTGAGCCCTTGATACAAAGCAAATTACAGTATACCCCATATTGTAGTAGTACCCCTTAACATTTCTGTTATCCTGAGGTGGAAGGTGCTGATGCTGAAACATACTACATATGTGCATACTTACATGGTGAGCTACAGTACTCTGCCTCGATGGGAAAATTGGTATACGGATTCTTTTTGAAATTTTTAGGGGATGTAATTGTGGATATATTTAATTTTAAAGTGAAATATAACATTGCAACTTGAGCACCCTTGGCGGAGATGTACGCGTTATAATAAGACTTTTTATTATTGCATTGCATTTCTGTATGCATGACTGCTTCTGTAAGTAATGGGGAGATTTCTGGCTTTCCCGTGAGTAAGCAAAACTGCCCAAAATACGATGTTTTCACCGATGATACATCAAAAAATAGCTCAAATTTGCGCGGAAAATCACTAGGAAAACTGGCATGCAGAATCATAACTACTGCATAATACATTGGTTATATTTTAAGAGATAGGCCAAGTTAAGGCCTAATTTTCTGCAAAATCTGTGTGGAAATCGGCCCCTAATTTTCAGGCCTAATTTTTGGCCCCGTAGGATAAATACCCCCTTATTTTACAGTCTGGGCCATGGGTAATCATTATGTGCAGCAAAATACAATTAGATGTGTTAAGACTGTCGAAAAAAATTACATTATGGCATAGGCCTAATTCATTGCCAACCATGTTACTCAAAACATTTTGGTTTGTAAAATGGTGAAACAGCTATATAAAATGTAGTAAAAACTATAATTATAGGCCATGTACTGTACTGTATTTTGGCCGCCTCTTTAAGAAAAGGAACGTTTTGGGGAAAAAAAAGATATTTTTTTGCTTAATAATATCTGCTTAAGTGTTTTAATAGGATGTTAATTATATTTTTTTATGGTAAATTTTAGCTTGAGGATTCTGTAGAAGGGATAACGGAAGTGATTGGATCTGTTTGTCCGAATCCTCGTCAGATCAATTGTCATCAGTATGTCAATCATGGGGACATCGACATGGGTAAGTCACAGGCTTCATGTGAAGATGTGCAATCATTTATCAATGTGCAATAGTTTCAGAATCTAGTTGATTACTTTTTAATAATACCATATAGTATTACAATTTATGCGGGAGCAGTTGGTGGAGTGGTTGCATTTCGTTCTTTCAACCTTGAGGTCGGGGGTTCGAACTTTCACTGTGCATTTTGCTAGTGTTTTTGGACAAGGCACTTACCTAAGTTTGTCTCAGTCCACTCAGGAGTATAAATTTGTACCCGGTGGTTCACTACTGGGGAGGAAAAGGGCGGTTTGGAAAGGAACTGGCTGGCCACTCCACACAATGCTGAGGCTTATTATGATTGTCTAACAGCTCATTCCCCTACATTCAATAATGAATACGGGACTATCAAACTGCTGTGAACATTGCGTCTGTTATCGTTATTATTGTGTTTTATATTGATGAAGCCGAGGCGAGACTTTTTATGCCTTGTTTCGCGAACTTATTTTTTTAAAGGTCCTCAGAGGACAAAGTGATTGGATCTGTTTGTCCGAATCGTCGTTCTATTCTATCAAACTGCTGTGAACATTGTGTCTGTTATCGTTATCATTGTGTTTTAATATTGATGAAGTCGAGGCGAGACATTTAATACCTTGTTTGGCAAACTTATTTTTTTAAAGTCGTCAGAGGACAAAAAAAAAATTAAAATAAAATTTTGTTTTCTTGTTGGGTAGATAGTTTTGCCAAAAACATTCAGACGGACAACAAAATGAAAATAACATTTTATTGGTGAATGTATAAGGGATGGTTAAATTTATTTAATTAGCAAGAAATATACATATCTTCTAACAAAAGTAACTTCTATTTTTTTCTGAAATTTTTTTTTTGCCTATGCATATGGGTAGGACCCAGAGCTGTAAATAACAGCCTCTGTATTTTTGTGTACAGTATTGGGATATTATTGTACAGTATCTCATGTTGAGGGCGTAATTATGATTGAAGCTAGATGAGTCACCATTATAGAGATTGCTGAATGGATGAATTAATCAACTTCTCATTTCTCACTTTCAGATTTGAGCTTGTATGATGAAGCAGTAAAGCTTTCGCATGAACATGAAAAGTTCTTTCCAATCATGAAGACCAACAGCGACAATCAATAATCTCTCTACAACCTACTACACATCGGTCACCAAGAGCCTACGCCAGCCTATAAACTTGAAGATCTTATGCTGAGTGCATTGTTGTATTGTGCCAAAGGCAGGAATACTTTGTAAAATAGAAGAGTACGAAACAAGCTGTTTGGTCTAATTGTTCATGTCGATTTTCAGTAATTAAAAGGCCAAGAGGGGAAAAAATAAGTACAGTGTAGGTGTCAGATTGCGCAGATTATAGCCGAGTACCAATAACTCAATCACATTAACGGCTTGCAAGAACATAAGTCAACCTAATACAGTAGATTTGCTATAATACACCTTACGACTATTTACGACAAAATATATTATATTCATTTTTAGAATTTGCTTGTTGGATTTATTTTAATACAATTTAGAAAAAAAAAACTTGTGTATTTACCATGTCTAAACATGTTACTATTGTATTGCAAGTGAACTCGCACCCCAGAGGTTCATCGAAGAACCTGGAAGTAGTGATCTAAAAATAAATACTGTATGTTTTTTCATGTTTTATTACAATTGATGGGAATGATTTTTATCATGGTGGCGCCCTCTATGACTTGGCATATGGGTTGAAACTAAAGAAAAAAGGCTTGGCAAGCAACATGTTATTGTTAATGTCATTAAAGCATATGTGCTTGTAAATAGTTCCACATTGGTGTTTATGTAAATTATATTTTAGTAGCTGGACAGTTGAAATGCACAAGAAATATGAAATACAGTCCCAGTTGGGTAGCATGATGAAAACTGTTTCTATAAGAATGCACTCTGCTGTGAACATTTTCAGTGGGCGAATCCAAGAACTAATTGAACATGGCAAGCTACCCCTCCAAAAATACTCCCCCTGGTTGCTGGAAGAAACATTCTGAATCCACTCATGAATTTGAATGACATTAAAGGCTAACTGATAATATTTCAAATTGATTTACAGTATTTTGTTTGTAATAAAATATAGTAAGAAAAATTGTGTGGTAGAAATTCAGTATTTCTTTGCATCTCAAGAACAAAAAAAGCAAAATACCTCAAAGAAATGTTTATTTTTTCTTTCTACCGAATTATTACAATCCTTTCAAATAATATTCATGACATTAGCAAATATAAATACTAAATATTACTGTAACAGGAAGACTTTTTGTTATAAATTTGTTTTACCTTGAGGGGTGAGGTGGACTGGTACACTAACAAGGTACAACTACGAGCATTAAGTATGCTGGCGTTCAAATTGCATTGTGCCCCCAAAATTCGTTTTTCCCTTTTCTGGTTCAACGAATCGTGGCCACTTCCTCTTGCTAATGCAGGCACTGGCTAGTGTTTCAGATGACACCACAAGAAACTTTTAACTGGCAACTCAAACAAATCTAATTTAAAATACAGTAAAACTTGCCTAAGTCGATCTTATTTTACATGCCAAATTGTTAAGTTTTCCATTAATTAATGATCTGCAAGTCAAATTTTTATCAAAGTCGGACAATTTTTCAATGCCATTTTGGATTTTTGTTCGACTTTGGCAAGTTCAACTGTATATAAAATTGATGAAGCTTTACCACATGCCATTTAAAAACCTGCACTGCTACCAAATTCAGTACGAAATTACCTCATGCATTTTCACCACAACCAAGCCTGGCAATCTATTATCACAACAAAGATAATAATATACAGTTAAACTTGCTTAACTCATATAATTTTTAAGTTGATCTTATGTACATGCCAGATTGTTGTATTTTTCAAGTCGAACAATTTTTCAATGCCATTTTGAATTCGACATAGTCAAGTTCAACTGTATTAACAGAAAACAAATTTGATCAATGAAGCATCTCCACTTGATGCAACGTGACAGAGCATAGGTTCTACCGGAGCTACATGCCACTGATGGGTCCAGTAGAAATTGGCCTTTATAGTAGAAAGGGTTTCAACCCATGATCTCTGTGTCCAATGTAATATACATGGATCATTTAAATACTGTAACATTATGTGAGACGTGAGCCCTCTAGAGTTTGTGAAATAAATTGTTCTGGAAATGAAATTGTGTACGTTTTGATACGTTCTTGAACCCAAAGATATTACAAATTTTGGCGACGAGGATGGGATACTATAGTCCTGTCTCTTATACACATCTAGATGTGTATAAGAGACAGTGTAAATAGTCTTACAGGCGCCCTGATAAGCTTAGATTTCAGTAAAGCATTTGACACGGTTAACAGAGATTTCCTGTTTAATGCTCTTCATCATTTAAATTTTGGCCCATCATTTTATCAAATGGGTAAGAGTTTTGTATTCTAATACTGAGTGTATAATTAAAGATTTCAAATTGATTTACAGTATTTTGTTTGTAATAAAATATAGTAAGAAAAATTGTGTGGTAGACATTCAGTATTTTTTTGCATCTCAAGAACAAAACAAGCAAAATACCTCAAAGAAATGTTTATTTTTTCTTTCTACCGAATTATTACAATCCTTTCAAATAATATTCATTACATTAGCAAATATAAATACTAAATATTACTGTAACAGGAAGACTTTTTGTTATAAATTTGTTTTACCTTGAGGGGTGAGGTGGACTGGTACACTAACAAGGTACAACTACGAGCATTAAGTATGTGTTTTAAGTGGCTAGTGTTTCAGATGACACAAGAAACTTTTAACTGGCAACTCAAACAAATCTAATTTAAAACTCGATCTTATTTTACATGCCAAATTGTTAAGTTTTCCATTAATTAATGATCTGCAAGTCAAATTTTTATCAAAGTCAGACAATTTTTCAATGCCATTTTGGATTTTTGTTCGACTTTGGCAAGTTCAACTGTATATAAAATTTATGAAGCTTTACCACATGCCATTGAAAAACCTGCACTGCTACCAAATACAGTACAAAATTACCTCATGCATTTTCACCACAACCAAGCCTGGCAATCTATTATCACAACAAAGATAATAATATACAGTTAAACTTGCCTAACTCGTGTAATTTTTAAGTTGATGTTATGTACATGCCAGATTGTTGTATTTTTCTATAATTAACGATCTGCAAGTCAAATTTTATCCAAATCGAACAATTTTTCAATGCCATTTTGAATTCGACATAGTCAAATTCAACTGTATTAACAGAAAACAAATTTGATCAATGAAGCGTCTCCACTTGATGCAACGTGACAGAGCATAGGTTCTACCGGAGCTACATGCCACTGATGGGTCCAGTAGAAATTGGCCTTTATAGTAGAAAGGGTTTCAACCCATGATCTCTGTGTCCAATGTAATATACATGGATCATTTAAATACTGTAACATTATGTGAGACGTGAGCCCTCTAGAGTTTGTGAAATAAATTGTTCTGGAAATGAAATTGTGTACGTTTTGATACGTTCTTGAACCCAAAGATATTACAAATTTTGGCGACGAGGATGGGATACTATAGTCCAGGACCAGATAGAACACAATGACTTCATTTCCAGAACAATTTATTTCACAAACTCTAGAGGGCTCACATCTCACATAATGTTACAGTATTTAAATGATCCATGTATATTACATCCAGAAGCCATAATTTCCAGTAAGGAGGTTTGGCTGACATCTACAGATAGTGTACGTATGGAGAGTGATGCCCAGCGTAGATTTTCTTATTAAAAAGTGCATAGAATAATGTCTTCAAATATGAGTCCATCACACATTCATACTGAACAATGCATGGAAATCTTCCTGATATCTTTGTATATGAACATCTGATCTGCAACTCTCAAGATGTGTGAAACGTCACCAGGATGGTGCTAGCAGGGATGAAATACTTCCTACAGAGTCCATCAGCATACATCGACATGTGCATGCTGTCACTGGGCATTCAACATGGCCACTAAAAAAAAATTAAAACCAATATAAGAATGCTTTGTTTTAAAAGAAAGTCATACCTCATTAATATTATGGCACAGACATCATAAAAGCCATTAATAACCTGTTAAAATGTCATTTGATGGTGTTTTTAGTAGCTTATCAGTGTCCAAATTATTAATTTATATAGGCCTAACCAATTCTGGTCAACATTTGATATAAATTTTATAAAATATTATTTTATTTTTGTTATCCAACAACGAATCTCTCCTAACTCCCCCTCCCCAGTGGCGCAACCACTACAAGGGAGGGGACAGAGCCCAAATAGATTACAAAAGAAGGAGGAGAGAGGAGGAAAAGAGAGAGAAGACAAAATATTACATACAAGGAGAGAAGACAAATATATAAAATTATTGCATGGTACTGTAGAAAATGGGTAATTATCAAGAATATAGATTTTATTCTTACCTAAACCATTCCTTCATGTGGTGCGAATGGCCTCCATGACGACATGACTGACACCACGTCATCCAGTTCTTAAAATCTGTTTGTTTCTCTTCAGTCTTTGTATTCTCAAATTTTTCTGTGAAAGCAAGACAAAAATGTAGTACTGCTGATAATGAATATCTGATGGACATATTACCAGACAATTTATGCAAATGAATATACATGAAAGGTATTATTAATACAAAAAGAAGTTATAAATATTGAAGTTTACCACTATGTAAAGAATCAGTGCCCATGTTCATTAGACATAGACAGCATCTTGGTAATGGCTTGCGACATTTATTTGTGTGGCAAATATTTTTCTGGGGGAAAAAGAAGAAAGTTGTTTGTAGAGGTAAACATACATGATTGTTCTCTTATCCAGCGACCTAGATCAGTGTTTTGAAATTGACATTAATCTTGTCTGCCTACAAAGCCCAGTTAAAAAAACATGAATATAATAGCATGTTGATTAACTTTATATAGGAAATACTTCTATAAGGTAATTGAGAACTCCAAGACCAAATGATTACAATATGTTAGGACTCTTAAAGGTCTAGTGATAAACTGTTTCGGCTTCTACCTAAAATGATAAAATCTCCTTAGTCAAAAAGTAACTGAGCCTCGCAATGTACATTTTTTTTTCGGTAGGATGGTAATTAATGTGTGTTTGCAAATGCTGCGAGTCACCTTGTAGAGACAAAAAAAAAATTAACCTTTGCCCTTCGCCCTGGATCTCTATTGCTTTCCATCATTCTTGCATTCCTACTAGCTTGCACATGGTTGATGTATGGGGACGGTGACAAAGGACTCTGACAGTAGTGACACGTAACAAATATCTGCTGAAGTTCCTCCTTGCCCCGAGTACTTTCTTGCTGCATAAATACATCAAACTTTGCCCTGAGAAACATATAACATTTAATGATTATGCACTAGGCACGGCTCTACTAATTTCACATGTATAAATTGAAACCTACTTACATGTTAGTAGTAATCGTAGTTAAGGCTTAAGTGGAGTTGAATAGCTTGGTGCTTACAGTGGTGTATATAGAAGGGAGTCTTGAAATGAGAGGGGGTGGCTTGATGATTAAAAGAGGGGGATGCTAGCCGAGGTCCCAAGTTGTGAAAGTCAAATTCCTGGACATATTATTGTGCAGGACAGGCAGAAATTTATGACACGTGTGCTAGCTAAAACGCTTGAGCAGATTTAGGTCACTGTTAATACCATAATGCTGCCTAGAATGTTCAATAAATTCTATGTCTGCCAGATTTAATGCATAAGAATGGGAAAATTTAGCTTAGCATAAACCCTAATAGTGAAAACCTGTTAAAATCCTGGAGATATACAAGAGAAGTTCAAATTCCGGGGGAAAATGTGGAATTTCCAGGAGACCGGGAGATGAACCAAAATTCCTGGAGACTCCAGACAATCCGGGAGACTTGGGAGTCCTGCGCTTGGTAGCAAAATAAGGGAATTTTTAACTATTTGAGTGGGTTTTTTTTTTTTCTGCGGACATTTTCAATGGGGGGAGGGGGCGCGATTGGAGAGCTTAAGCTTTTTTTGCACCCTCTCTGATACGCCACTTGGTGGTTTAGATGCTTGCGTTCCAATCCCAGGGTCCAATTGATTTTTCTCATCACTGAAAAAACTCCCTAAGCCTCATTGAGCCTTTTAGTTTAAAAAGCATAATGGTCACTGTGGAAAAACAGTAGAAATCTACTGAACTGGTTATTCAGTATAAAGAAGTAAATTTCTAAGCCTCTGGGGATAAGGATATAACAATTTTCTAGACATCTTAGTCCCCATAAAAAAGAAACTATGACATCGTAGCAAACTACAGAATTATTTTATCTTAATATACTGCATTTCAAATTTTACTTTTATGTTGTAAAGATGTCTTTTTCCATTTTACATAAATAAAAATAATTCATAATAAATTATATACTGTAGATGATAGAATTTCGAATGATGATAAGATGCACAATTAATAGTTTTTCATACTCTTTTTAATCACTCAGACAAAAATATACTGACCTTTCATGCCATAATCTCCATGTGTCCAGGAGATTGCGGTAACAATCAATCCAGTTTTGAACAACAGGATCCTTGGACAGATGGCAAGGGAAGGCTAGCACTGCAACAACACTGGCAGTCTGTACATCAGCTGTCTACATTAGATGCAAATACAAAAAAATATTAAAAAAAATTTTTTTAAACATTAATATTTTTAATTAATTTCTGCAAACAATACATAAAATGATACCATTCACATTGGGAGCTTGAATTCAACACCTATAATCAGTGTATCACCATACAAGTCCAGAGTCAGGTTAAAGTCAGGCTCCGGAGGGAAAAAAAAATTGTTATATGTTTGTAGAACTTATTTTTCTAAGACAGAAAAAAGTTGTTTGACGAAAAACGGGGGAACGGTGAATGAGATACAGATTTTTGAGTATTTAAAAGGGGCGTAACTGCCCTTTTTACACCTTATTCCCCCAGTTTTTAAATATTCAAAAATCTATATCTCATTCACATCTCATTCACCGTTCCCCAGTTTTTCGTCAAACAACTTTTTTTTTGTCTTAGAAAAATCAGTTCAACAACATATCAAAAAATGTTTTTCTTCCAGAGCCTGACTTTAAAATTCATAAGATTAACACATAAATTAACAATAAATTGGCAGGAAAATTAACAATAAAATTGGCAGGAAAATATTAGGGGATGAGTAAAATCGTCGCTGGCAATGGGATAGTACTTCTTATTACCTCTGCCAAGTTTTCGCTTTTTGCATGCGTTGGTATATGTTGATAGGGCGTCCAAGCACATGCAATCTTTTGTAGTGCTGGCAAAATAACACAACAAACATACATATGTTATTTGCACGTTATCATCTAGGCATATTTTTCCCAATTGATTAGTCTGTGGTTCTACAATGTATAACAATGAAGAAATAAAAGCTAGAATGTTACCCCGCCTTTGACAAGTATGCTCGTACTGGCAGCAAACACGTTAAGGAGTTTAGGTCTCCCTTAGCATATTTCAAAATTAAAGTATACTTGACCAGTTGTAGCTCTAAGGATATAAATTTGGAGGGGGACGGAATGGGAGAGGAATGGTTCCTCATTTTTGAGTGTGAAAACCCTCACTAGAACCTGTACCTTGTCAATGTATGAAGTGATGAGCTTGATTCCGTCTTCTGTTAGTCCTGTCAACAGAATGCCTTCAAGATTGCCCTCAGCCTGTGCTTCTTCACTCAGACGCTTAATGTACTTGGACAACTGCACATCATTCAGGAATATACAAGCAAATGCAACTCTATCCTGGATACTCATCTTATGTATGCATTCATCCTGAAAGGAAATTAATACATTAAAAAAATAATATAACAGTGGAGAAGCAAAACAAGCATCTTTCCTCAATGGTAGGATATTGTCATTTTATAAGGTAGCATCATCCTTCCTATTAGCAGATTCCCTCTTTCTTATAGCACTAACCCTACACCCCCTTCATGACCATACTCCTAAAAATGGCACTACCAGATATCCATTTATAAAAAAAAAATCTATTTATAGTGTCTTGCTATAGGGCACAGCTATCATGGACGGATCCAGAGATGTATTTCAAAATCAATACAACTGTCTCTTATACACATCTAGATGTGTAGGGGCGGGCAAATCCGCCCTTGGCTATATGACAAGATTATTCCTGCTCTTCCCTGTAGTCAAAAGCTATTGTATACTTGTGATGAATAATATAAATAAGGTTTCTCTAAAAGCCCTTTCCAAACTATCAAATTTTATTCTGAATGTATTATCTGTGCCTAAACATTGATTTATTAAATCCCCTCTTTTTATTTATGTTTCCTAATTTTTGTACCATGAAATTTTCAATTATTTCAAATACCTTTTAATGTATTTTCATAAATTCAAATGGTGATCATTTTATTTAGTTCTCTCCTTGTTGTATTCATGTTTATATACTGTGAGCATAGAATAGAAACAAACATAAAAGCTAAGAAGTATGTCATTTACCAGTACAGCAGAGAAGTTTCCATCATCACAAGTTAGGAATGTAAACATCGCCATCAAGTAGGCATTTTTCAACTGTTTACATAATCTACTACACATCTCCTGCCAAAGAGTCTTCTTAGTGCTGTCATACCCTGATAATGCCATGGCCATTGCACTTAAGTTTATGTCGCCTGAAAAAAACAATGCGAAAACATTTCAACCAAAACAAGTACAACCCTTTGGCTGAGTGATTCAGTATTCAAGCGAGTCAAACAGTCAAGTGGTTAAGGCAGGGGCGCAGACACCTACAGCCATAGTATCGGAGCTGGTTCAAACGGCATGCTTGCCTATGGTTCCGGAGGTGAAACAAGTCAGATAAGGAATATAAACCATAGGCCCAGTGTACAGAATTGGCTCATGTGCACTGTAAAGAATCCAGTACCATCTTTCGAGATAAGTAGGGGGTTACCCCGGTGTACTGGTTCATATAAGACCCTGTAGCTCGTACCAGTTTACCGGCCAGCTCAGACATAAAGAGACCCTTAGGGGAGATTAAAGTTACTGTCTGAGCTACAGTAACTTACATATAATACTTACCTTCCTTCTTCTTAGTAGATGATGCACCAAGATTTAATGTTTCTATTGCTTTTCTTAGATTCAGGTTAAACATCTGGATTGCTGCTGCCCTTTCAAATTCACCATTTTCCACCAATCTGCATTTTATAGAGGAATTCAGGATTAGTTTAGTATTTGAAAAGACTTGAATTTTTAATGTTGAAACTGTCTCAATAAAAATTACTTAATGCTTACCTTGCGATGTAGATATCTAATGCTGCTGGGTTCTGGAAATCCCAATTACATAGTCGTAGTGCTATCGTTCTGAAATTGTATATAGATAAATTTCAAAGAATAAAGCAATGTTTTAAGTTAATCGATTTGATTTTAATACAGAACTGAAGTCAATACAGTTTGCCCTCCAATTCGAGCCCACCTTTGGGACAGGTCTGAAAATTTGGGGTGGTCTCTTGATACACATTTAGAGGGTTAGATTTGTGTTAAAAGATTGAAGATTGTTATAAGGGGCTTTGAAAAAATAGTCTTGAATTAGAAGGGTCTTGGAATTAGAGGGAGGTCTCGAATTGGAGGGTACACTGTATTAAAATACTAACCTCTCCTGACTCGTGTAAACATGGATGATATCAGGTGAATTTATAGCACCTTCCAAGTGCATGTTTTGCTCTGTACTTCGTAAACAGAACGCTGTTCCCGGAATCTCTCCTGCAATCAGGTCTTTCACACCATAGAAAGGATTAGTTCGCATCTTTTGTAAGTTCCTATCTTTGTGTAAGCTTTTGATGTGGTCCAAAATAAGCCAGAATTGTCGCAGTGTTCCATCGTCTACTAACTCACCATTTTCCCAGATTTGCTCTTTCTGAAAAAAAAACAATTATTCAAACTTTGGACTAAACTTACTCAAATCAGGTTGACCCTGCTGGGCTGACAATAGCTTGACATATTTCCATTTTCACTCTGGCCTCTGGCGGCAGAGTAAAGTCAACAACAGGCTTGAGTCATGGCTGACTTGAGCACTAGCCTAACTTAGCTTTACTGATCCTGGTTGAGAAAATATGGAATTTGAGCTGGGGAGCAATGCAGTACCCTACTGGTGGTAAATTTGGAGGACACCAGGAGACAATCTCTTGCTAAAAGTTAACAGGTTCTTAAACTTGCACACAGAACATGTTAATGCACTATGACATGTAGGCATGTTTCACAGGGGTAGCATCTTAATGGAAAATAACCAGAAACACAATGATCTACAACATGGTGCAGTGCATAGACAGTGGTTACCACTCTAACCCAGTGAAGGATTCAAGGGGAGGAGGAACAGCCACCTGGGCCCCCCTAAATTTTTAACATTTTTAAAAATTGAGATAAAAAAGAATTTTACATTCAGATTTAAGTCTAAATGGTTTCATTTCCGGCCATCTAGAGGTCCCATAATCGCACAATTTCTTACCTCAGACCCACCCATGGTGGGGCTGAGGTTGTATAGACCATCCACCTGTGAAAGTCCTTCCCTGGGCCCCCTCTTATTTAAAATTCCTGGATCTGCCACTGCTCTATGCTGCTGAATACCAATGTGGTAAAACCATGATAGAGTAGGAGTTGACAGGACAGGATCATGTCTAAAAAACTGTCCACTGCTTTATATCTTGTAATATTTTCATGAGAGCTAAAAAATAGTTACAGTGCAGTTATGAAATCTAGACAAATACATTTCTTTCATTTCAATGTTTTATTTCAAAATCAAATCAATATACAAAATAAAGTAAATTAAATGGAATAACATTGTAATATAAACATATTATTTAAATAAGCAGGTTTAAAATAAAGTTAATGCATATGTCATTAATAAAGGAAGGGGTAAGCAAATTACAATAAAAATCCTACCTTAAGCCCGTAACCTTTTAATGCTCTATCTTTGATTTTAGTTGAAATATCACTCTGGCATCTGACTGGCATCACTTGTAGATGGCGACCACTGCCAACTAACAGGCTGGACTGAGGAGACCAAGACTGAAAAACAATTATCACATAGACTTTGATGCTATAGACTAAATATATAAAGTACATAATTTGATTTTACAGGAAGTATTTGCTTATTATAATTTTGGAGTACAGACACGTGCTCAAGTCATAACACATCATCAAATATAATTTTATGATTTGCAGGAAATGTATAGTCTCTTTAATTTTTAATGTTTTAATATCCTATTAATATTGGTGCGGAAATTGTAATGAGCAATTCGATACAGTAGCAACATTTATATGGTAATAATATCTGTTTTCTTAACTTAATTTATATTATATTTATATCAGCTTTATTAAAAAAACAATTTGCATCAAAATGATAAAATACCATAGTATTAAATTACATAACAATACATCATTATAATGTACTTGAATAAAAATACAAAATCCATTTAACTAGTACCACCACCTACACTAAAATAACATTTTAAAAGCCTCCTTTGGAAGGCTATTCAGATTCTAAACATGCTTCTACAAATCAATCGACTAAAATATATATTAATATCATGATAAATTGCATTGATCTTACCATAGGCATGAGGTCTGCTACCACTGTATCCTTAAGCAAGCCGCTTGTTGTGATGCTTAGAATACGATTCTCATGTGTTGGATGCCATGCAAAAGACGCTACCTGATTGCCACCGTTAGCTGCAAGAATTAAGGTTTCAATGAAAGGCTCATACATTGTAGATTGTAAAAATAAATAAAAGCCAAAAAACTGCAAACAAAGGAAGCAAAAACAAGACTGCTGTGGGATGAGAACCCAACAAAGAATTTCAAATTCCCCAAATATTATACCATTGATGATATAATGATCTGTTTAAGAGTAACTCTAAAAAAAAATTTATTTGAGCAATCCTAAAAATATAACAAATTTTCAGATCAAAAATACAGTCATGGTAAAATAATTCTACAGTACTTACTCTGTAAGTTCATTTCATTATGTTCCATCTCTTTATCTGTAATAACAGATAATCTTAATATCAGTAATATATCTGAATACGACATTTATAATAGTATATAGAGGACAAATATGAATTGTTCAGTGTTAGTATATTCCAGTTACAAATGCAATTAAAATAAACAACTATTATTTAATTGACTATTAAAATATTTTATCATTATCACATATAAAACTAAATGTGTTATAACAATATTCTAGAATATGGTATAGAGAGTCTACATACCAAGGTGCTCTATCGAATATACTTTTATGACGGAGCTCTTATCAGTAAGACACGCCAGGCGATTATATCTGGTGGGACACCATGTAACTTTGACGACAGGTCGTGGCTCTACTATATTATGTATCTGAATGTGGTCAGTCAAGGAACTATCAATCATTCAATAAATCAAACGATCACCATTCCAACCAACAGTCATTGCTGGTACGCCATTCAAAAAAGTTGATAAAAATCAGCACGTCTTTAGTAGTGAACTGTCAAGTGAATGTTTAATGTTCAAATGTTCAAACAATACAATAAATCAATCAATCAATCAATCAACCAATCACAGGGGTCCCAAGTCTCCCGGAACTCGCGGGAGTATCTCGGAAATCAAAATGGCCTTCCACACTCCCGCAAGGAAGCAAGAATCTCCCGGAAATCAATCCATATCCCGTAAATTCAAAATATTTGCTTGTTTTCAATTCTTTATTAGCAACTGTCTCACGAAAATCATTGCCAATGCGTACACAATGTGCAGCAAAATTAAATTAAATGTTACGAAGGCTTATTAACCAAACCAGTGGCGGATTCAATAAGTAAGCCCCCAATTTTTCAAAATTAAAAAAATGGAGAGAAAAAGAAAATCATATTCAAAGTCATTTCCGGAAATCAAGAGGTGCCATAATCATAAATTTCCCCTCGATGAATTGTGGTTTTTCTCCCCGACGGGAAGGGGCAACAGTGCTCTGGCCCCGGCCCCCTCCCTCCACCAAAGCAATGGTGCCACCCCTGATCCCGGAATCGACTCCATGCAATCAATCATAAATCAATCAATCAAGAAATAATCACTTGTAATAATCAAACCACCTTCATTTGGTTATGATTGTTGTAACTATCATTGGTGATATCAAAAGCCTCATTTTTTTTTACCACAGGAGATACCAAAAGGATACAAATCTGTCGAGTTTGCGCAGGTCCCAAATGTGGGTCTGGGTTTCACCAAATGAGCTAAATCGGTAGTCCGAGCAAGGATCCACTGAGATACCTTGCACCGATTTAGTTGTTACTTGACTGCGAGTCCGTGATGAGTCTGGCAATTGAAGTAAAATTAATTCTAATTAATTAATTTTATTTTTAAATTATTTATTATTACATAAAGCTTTCTTATAGTTTCAACTGCACTTGATTAAATCAAAGGTTAAATCATACAAACAAATACTATCATCCAAATCTAATACACTGTTATTACTTAATATTTGTTGGACTTATGTTATAGAGGCTGTTAGATCCATGTATTATTGCTTATATATGCAAGAAAAAGAAAATATTAGTCGGGAACCATCGAGGGGCTTGCCACTGGGTATCCTGACAAATTGGTAAGCTAGCTACCCTGTGGCTGCTGGGCTGATGTGGGGCCACAGTTGTCTAAGCCCCACTCTCCGATTTCAAAAAGGGTCATACAGATTTACCAACAGTAGTCCATTATTACAACCAATCTTCAAAAAATGTTTAATAGAAATTTATAAATACAGATAATACATTAATTATATGCTATGATATCTCAATGGGTACAATACACATTTCTCATAATATACTATAGTATTACAACAGATACATTGTACCTCTACAATTTGTAGAGGTACAATTCTCCATACAATACAGGTACAATTCTTCATACAAGATCAAATTTATTATGAGACCGATTGATATAATCATATTTAAAACAGACTGAGAAAATGATTTATAGGATACTATTTTACATAATCAATAAAAAAAAAACCAGTAGCTCACCTCTGATGTCATACAAACGGATATGCTTACTGCCAATACCAGCTAAAAAGCAAGTGGGGTCGCTGATGAGCCACTGCATCGAGTGGATGATCTCACCAGGAGAACCGAACTCAGCCAAAGGTTTACTAACTGTACCCTGACCATCTGCTAACCCTGGTAGCTTCTTAGTCTTGTCAGCTTCTCTGCCTGTAATGACACCCATTTTGTCAATTATTCAGTGTCATATTATTAATATTTTACCTCCTATTCCTGGTAGCCTCATAAAAACTTGTCACAATTTCTAGCTTTCAATCAATCTTTCATTTCTATATACCATATTTATTCGAATAAATGTCCACTTTGAATATACAACCGCTCCCCCCTCTAGAGCTTCATTTTGAATAAACACCTCCCTTGATTAAATTCCCAGAGACATTAAATACCCCCCTAAATGACTGTATACAGTTCTAATGGAAGCAACATCATTCTCAACAGTCTATTATGTTCTAATCCAGTAGAATTAAAGTTTTTGTAAACCTGGTTGGGATCAATAAGGCTTTGATCACGCATAAAACATATTTGACGGTATTATGTGTTTTAGTTCCACATTTACAGTGAAAAAGGATGTTTATTTGAGACTGTATATACGCATCGATTTTACACAGAACAAATAAAGGCCTCCCACGAATAAATTCCTTTGTTGAGTAAATTCCTCCTCAAAAACCCTTCAACAATAAATGGCCCGGGGTGTTTACTCAAATAAATAATGGCATGCCCAGCGGCCACACTTCAGCACAACAGCATCTCAGACGATACAGCATAAACAGGCATTTTTTCACAGCATACAGTAAGAAACAAAAGTCAATAAATTTCACAAAATCTGCTTCTGTCTCATGCCTGAAGAAATTAATTACCATAAAAGATTTCAGATTCTGTACGGAATACAACTATACTTGCTTCTTATATCCATCCATTAATTTTGTTGTACACTATTATTAGTGACCCTCAAACTTAACATTTGGTTTGATTGATTTGAAGAAATGATTTACCTTGATATCTGACATCCCACATAGCTATACCTGGGTCTCCCCTGTACTTGTCATACCCTGCAAGAAGCTGAATATATGAAATATGTCAACTAACAAATTTAATAGGTAAATGTATTCTCATTCAATGTAGTACAATTGATAAATAAATTAACTTTAGTTACTTTTATAGTTTTAACTGCACATGAATATGTCAAAAGTCAAAGTATAAAACAAACACTAAAACTGCTTATATCATCGTCTGCATTATGAATGGTTTGTTTTAACATACTGCTACATTACTATGTATACTTTATAAGAAGTAAGGAATAGAGGGTCCATAAGAAAGCAGTTGTTATTAAGAAACAATATTGAAAGATCCAAGTAAATCGTGTTTTTTTATTTTTATTGGTTGATTATGAACATTATCAATATTGACTACTTTTAAACACTGTACATTAAGTAAATACAATAAATGTGATTTACTAGATTAGTTTCAGATGAGTTCCACTCTAGTAAGTGACAAGGACGGCCATGTTTAGGATTGAATTCATGTCCCACTAATCCTGTGAAATCTGGTGTTGACTCCTGGTCAAATGAGGTCAGAAGCACCTTTCCGGTTGACATGCCCACACCGATCAGGTTTACTCCTGGGATGGCTTTTGGTTGCCAAGCATAGCACTACAAAAACAATCATATGCATATTTAGTGTAAGATTTTTTAAATACATAGGCCTATAATTAAACTGCAAACTATAATACATGCATAAAAAGTGTAATTTCACCTGATAATGAGAAGCGAAAGCCAAAGCAAAAACTACTTTTTCAAACAAAATAATAAAAGTGATCAGGATATATTTTGGCTACACAATGGCACTAAATATATCTCCATCAGCTGTTTGCAAAAAAAATCCCATATGAGGCACAACATGACAAAATGACTAATTTCGTCCCACAAGCCAGTATTGAGTAAATGAGCCATAGAATATGGAAGTTTGAATAATGGCCTAAAAAATTAAATTATTTCGCTATAAATCAACAATTGAAGATTAAATTATTCGTGTCTTAAATTCTTAGTTCTGGAAATCGTTAATAAACCATTATTTCACATCTTTTTTTTTAGTTAATTCCACTAAAAACCATTTAATACTTTTTCTGCATTGTTTCAAGAACAATGGGAAGACATTCTAACCTGAAAACTTGAAAGCGCTCAACCATAATGAAGCATAGCAATTTTCACAACTTAAGAAACAACAAAAACATTCGCAAGAAACGAAAGTAAGACAAAACTAACCTTGACCTCTGATTTGTTTGGAATGTTTAAGTCCGCTATGCCTCCAATCGGCCAAGCACTCAAATTCAAAGATATTGTCTGTGTTTTTGCCTCGCTTGTATTCTCTGCGGTATTCTGCTCGATGATATCATCCTCATCCAACTTACCAACTTGGAATAAGGTCAGATCAGGAGGCACTGCCCTGAAGGTCAGAAAGAGATTCTTGGCAGCCGGAGACCACTTTACATCCCACTTTGAGTTGTTCATATCTCTGCTTTTGTCTTTCTTGACCTTACCAAACACTGCAGAAATAAAAAAAATAAAAAAAACTTCAGGTAATAAGCATGCTTTAATGTCTAGGTTTTCAATCAGTGGCCTGCAGATCAAATTCCAAAAGAATTTAGATATAATTGCAGTACCAAATTAAATACTGGCTATCTATGCCTCATCTACTACTACTGCATCAAAAATAAAAATTTAAAATATGTAGAAACATTAAATTTACAACATTCCTAGTAGTGTGATGATAATAAATCGTACTTTATTCCAGAAAGAAATGTCAAAAAGAATTTTAATATCATTAGAAATGTATCAAAAACTTAACAAAATTTTCTGGAAGCCTTTGAACTTAAATTATTAGAATAATATAGTTTTTCTAAATTACAATATTAAAAAGCAAAATGTTTAATGATACATACATTTTTTTTAGAGTTAAAAGCAAAAAATCAAGTGAAGGAGCCTAAAAGAAAACATAGATTGTTGCATAGAAGGTATAGGTAAAGGTAGGAGAATAACTGTACAAGTCACAGCATCATTGTGCTGAATTGCGTATGGGGGTGGTCCGTGACTACCTAGCAGCCATAAAGAGGTACTTATAGTAGCTACATGTTCATATCATTCAACGATTCAACCATAGCATCGGGGTAACCTCCTACTCTTCTGAAAGATGCAATAGGTTCTAGTACACACGACCCAGATGTATACACTTGACCTCCCTTTTAAATCCTTATCCAAGAAGACTTGGTTCTACCAACCAAACCCTGGGCGAGGGGCGGCTTGAACCACCACCAATGTTAAGGCTGTAGTTAGTGGCCGACCCTGCTTGACCGCTCGGCCACTCGACTTCCCCTGAAGTTGAAAATCATGAGATACAAATTGGTACTGTAACAGACCAAAAACTCCAGGATTTGAATTCATGTAATACAAAAAAATTCTACAATTCTTCAGAGAACTCTTTAACCACTAGATCGATGTTAAGCCCTGTCTAGGCTATCAAATTTTATTTGACAAAAGCATGTGACATGCCCAAATATGGTCATCATGACATCACATTATGACCATACAGTATAGGCACATAATGACTAAATATGGGCACATAACAGTTGTCGCAAAGAAAATTTGATAGTGTATAAAGGGCTTTAGTGTTTTGTCAATTGATTTATAACAGCCAATTATTATTTATACTACGCTGAATGTACTTTACTTCATCATGATATTCTATACATGCTTTCAAGGTGTCAATCAATACTTGATTTGAACATAAACATGAGTTTGTTTTATGCGTATACAATAAAGAAGAAGTGCGCCATTTTTAGTGATCTTGTTGTCAGCCCTAACCAGGGGTGATTGAATACTTCAGCTAGTGATCTATTTATTTGCATCCATAAAATGATTTACAAAATAAAAAATATATTTTTGTTGCACTTACTATTTTCAAGTGTTGACATGATCAAAATCTGTTCAGTTTTAACTTTGTTCCATTTAAATTTCACAGGGAGTAGTCCATATCAATGGAAGTGTATACGGAAATTAAACCAAAAAACAGACACTTAAAACCCTATCCTTCAACGTCATACCAAAATCCTAAATCAGTACTTGTCTATACAGTGGTTACTACCCATTGGTCACAAAAGAGTACACTCGCATCAATAGTGATGAAATCATCATGAATAAAACTAGTTAATACCATGCTGTGAGGGCTTGTATCCCAATCTAGTAATAAGCTTATACAATAACAAAAAAAGATTATCATCAATATTCAAATGAATGGTTTCCAGTTTATGTTTACATATTAAACTGTGCAACAAACCTATACCGTTCAAGGTCTTTCGAGATAACCTCTTGAAACTTGCAATTATTTTATCCTTCTCAATTACAATAACAAAATAATTTAATTGAATGCAGTCTCCCTTAATTTGATGATAGGCCGGCCTCTATTTTTATACTTTTATACATTGATATATTTTGTGTCTTAATGTTTTTGTATGTCAACTCATTTAGCCTTGCGTGATCCCAGTTTTGGGACACTGTTCTGGGCTCTTTATTTGTTTCCTGTATTGTTTTTTATGCAATAAAGTGATTTTATATATATAATAACAAATGAATGGTTTCCAGTATATTTATCAAAACTACTGTAAATGGTCATGATTTACTTTAATCTACATGTTTTGGTCGCCAGGTGACTCCATTTCTATGGCAATACATACTGTACTTGCGGTGACATGATTTGACAATTTGTGGTTAGCGAAGCAGATATGTTGCTTTATGGCAATGATGGCGATATTGTGAAAACAAAAATGCTCTTTTCGAAAATAAATCCCAAGGATTTTTTGAAAGAGAATCATTGAAAAACTTTAGGAACTGATTCAAAATTATGCAAAAAAAAAAAAAAAAAAACCTTTATACAAAATAATATTATGTACTGTTAATTAAAGATACATTTACGCATAGTTTCAATTTCATTTTAGAGACAATGTTTAATTAATCAACACTGACAGGTGATGCATACTGTCCTAAATTTCAATAATGAATCAATAAGCAGAGCTGAAGTATAGTAACCATGTGGTATTAAAGTAAGTATGGAATGAATACTCTATGATTTAAAATACAGTAGGCATACAGTATCCAAACTATAGTATTAGAGGGTCATATTAATCTACTGTACTTGGCATCTGAGAAATATAAAAATTAAATAGAACCACTAAGCTACAGTACTAAAGTATGGGTGCTGTGAAACCAAGCAGAGGAAGCTTACGGATCAATACTAAGGACAGTGCTTAACCAAGGATGTACTGAAGGCCTATAGTTAATAACATTACATGCCCGGAAAATAATCATTGAAAAAGATCAATATCTGAAATATACATTTGTCACAGCAAATAAAGGCAGCTATAAATTTCCACTATATATACACCCTAGAACTATCCCAAAAATGGAATTCTCTGCCACCTAGAATCAAAAATACTACAGATTTGGCTAACAAAGAATTCATATATTACTTAGGCACGGTATTTCCGCAGCACTTATCCGATAAATTATCGGAAAGCAGCCATGTTTTTTTAGTTATCGCTGCGGAAATGGGGCCCAAAGTTTCCGAAAAAATGTTTGCATGAGAATCAGATAATTTATCGGAAAAAGCTCCGAATGCGAAAATAAATAACCTTTGACCAATATACGATAAGCATTATTGTCAATTAACTGATGATACATCATGGACTTTATGTTAATATCTACACTAGAGGTGTTTTGTACAGTCACTGACAAGACAAGATGTACAGTAACCACAGACAGTTGAGTAAAGACCGGATATGAGGCCCTGGGCAGGGGCCCTTCAGGGTCCCAGATGCTGCTTCGGCATTTTTAGTGTTCAATCTCATATTTTAATGCCTTTTTTAAACGTTCGATATATACTGTGAGTATGGTATGCATCGTGATTTGACCTAAAAAAAGCATACTTAAAGCTACTTTTTTTGTTAAAAAAAATTGAATTTGCTGGGGGCTCCTTCAGGCTTTAGCCAGTGAGAACGTATAACCGTTACACCACAGACGAATTTAGAGGGGGGACTAAGGGACATCTTTCCCACAAAATAATGACAAACATGTATTTTTTTTATGACACTGAAATAATAGCCAAGCAGGTTGTCCTAAATGAAAACTTATTTTAGAGAAAATATTAGGTTTTCAAACACTTCAGATTCATATGGAGATCATACTACCACAGTTGGCTGAGTTAGTGTTAATTTATCAAACAGTCTATTGTACCCTACTAGCAAAAAAATCCTGGATCTGTCCTGGTAACATAGGCTTGAACATGAGTTAGATACAGTACCCTACCATACCACAAGTTTTGTCCACACCTCACAACTTTAAAGGAAATAAATAACAATAGCAACATATTTTTACACAAAGAAACCAAAGAATGGGATAGTTCAATTTAAGTTCAAAAGCTTCTTTATCAGTGAACATAATTACTGTAGTGCTCACCTTTATCAATGAAGTAGCATACTATGAAAAAATGCTTGGTCTATCAGTTTATTTATTTAATACTATACAGTATTTTGATAAGGTAAATGTAACCCATCTAGCAGAGGTTATCATTGGACATTATCACATCATTGGACGTTGGTACGTGTTGGTTAGTCTACAAACGTCACCTAAAGTAATTGATTTTACCCGGCAGAACGAAAGAAGGAAACTCCGCTTTTCAGTCGTCAGGCCCTTGTTTTTTGACAAACAATGATTTTTCAGAGGTCAAATTGCTGTCAAGAATATGAATTGGCTGCTTCGCAGCAAACATATATTTATATACCATAAATTAAATTCTTGAGATGCAGTAAGGAAAGCAGTTTTGTGACATCACATTTTGGATCTATAATAATTGAATCTTTGAATCTCGCCCCCCCCCCCCTCCCCCCTTTGGAAGGTAAAATAAAGCAAAAAAAAAGAAAGAAAGCGAATGAAAAAACTGATAGCCTAAAATGCCTCAGAGGTTATTTTTGGGCATCTAGAACACAAAAATTTCGCGGGGGCATGACCTCTAGGGTAGTATTGTCTCAGTCGGCCCCGCTTTTGGACACCTTTGGAACCGCCCCTGGTCTTCTCAAATGGCAAATATTTCGTAAAACTGCAGAATAGGTCTTAGCACATGTATACTGTACAATGAGCCTAATTGGTACCCAATTATAAACATACGTACTCCTGGAGGACATTTGACAACTTTTATTAAAGGTACCGACACAAGAACACAATGGCCCATTCCGGAATGTTAATCAATTAAAACAACTGACCAATCACATCACGGGTAGGTACACGCTTTTTCAACACAATCAAATATAGTCCCACGAAGGCCAAGTTTACAGTGAATAATATTTACACTACCATTTTGTCAGACCTAGCAAAAAATATCCAGGGGGGGGGGAGGTTTTAGTGGAAAGGTTCATTATGTCAGGGCCATCCTGAGACACTATTGACCCCAATGTTTAGCAGGTATTTAGCCATTTATGAAAAAAAGTATAGGCAAGGCACTTTAGTGTACTTACTATCTAGTCCGGCATTGAATGGTGGATAGCTCCTTGACAGCAACTCCTGAAGTGTTTTTCGCTGACTTGGACTGACCATGTTGATGTTAAATTTATGCACTGTAGTAATATTTCCCTTTGCAAGTTAACACGTCTCCATTAATAGTGAAGACAATGGCATCAATATGATGCTTGGGAACGAATGAGCTTCAAAATGTGCAATCCTTCTAATCTGATTGCGAAATGGATGCTAAGAAATAAATAATGAAATTGAGCAAAGGTCCCTAAACAGCAGTCCATACTCTGATGTACTTTGACTGTTCCTGATCCCTGCTTGTTGATCAAAGATCCTTCTATCCTTATCATCAAATGAAAATTTGTCTATACATACTTATCTTTAAATACATAGAATTGTTTCTCTACTATGATACACGTGGAGGAAAAGGGCAATAAATCTTTCATATTAAAAATTGAATCACATTATACGCCTCCTGTAATCCACTGTATACCAAAGATCTGGCTGTTTAGATATGGAACATCATGCACTTGAATTATACAGTACAGTATCATATCATCCGACTACAGTAAGCAAGGCAAGCAGTAAACATTTTACAATCTACAGCACTGAGCAATTGAAGATAAAAATGAAAACACAACCATTTCTGTAATGAAATACTTTGGTCTGGTGAACGCGCCTACTGTGAGCTTCTATATACCGTAGTCATATGGCTGGAAGTCACATGCGTCAAAATTATTCATATGATCCGATGATTGGTCAATCAATGAACTTAATTTACATATGGGTATTTCCCTCACATTTCTTGGAAGGTTTTTCACTGTTTAGTGTTCTAGATATTTACAGAGAAATTATACTGTTGTAGCCTTTAGAAATTTACAATACAGTATGCCCTTTTAACATAAAAATAATAAGATTTATAAAGCGCACATATTTAGTGCAGTAGTGCTCAAGGCACTATAGAAGGAATAAAAAATTACTGTAAACAAGCTACCAGAAAAGGAACACCACACACATCACCGCTACCAAGCAATTTGAGGCACAGGGGCCAGCTATTCATAACTCACAGGTGCTCAATTAAATGAGGGTTTCTAGCTTTTACAAATTACAGTAAGTTTGCAAGCATGACAAAAAAGTAAACTAAGAAACTGCAAAAGCAACCGACAACAGATGTGATTTATCTGGGAGGCCTATTCTGAATAGTACTCTTTAGGACCAAAATCTTTTCACAACAAAACAGGACCATTAAATTTTTATTGAATTGTTTTTATTTCCATGTACTGTAAATACAACATCATAAATATTTTAATGTCAATTGCAATAAAACGCAAGATTGCTCTAAACGCTTGACACTATCCAATCAGCTCTTCATAATACATACCTTACATATTTATGAACTACTGTATATAACATTAGATTTGAAATTCCTTAATACATAAAACCTAAATTATAACATTATAACATATATTATTATATTATAAATATTATTATAACATTGTTTTAAAATGTTGTACATTAATAAAAATCAATAATAGAAGTAATAAATTATGAGCCTAAAAACACACACAGTCATTCCTAACACTAACCATGCACTAATAGTGTCAATATTAGCAAAATTAAAGTACTATAGGAAATTTACATTCATCATACAGTAGTTAGACACAGGAAGACACAGGAATAAACACAACAAACAGTACAGTAGTTGTAAACTATCCAGCCAATGGCATAACTTCCTACCATTGTCACTGACTTCCTTATTTGATTGCTATTCAGAATGCAAACCAGTGCCTGGTAACTTACAGTTAAACATTTCTGTAAAAATATCTTTTTAATTTAAATTATTTAATGATTCAATATATAATGATTATATTTTTGCCATATAATATTTTTGAAATTTCATTATAATGTTGCCTATTGTAGCACTGTATGTCATCTTTTTATGTAAAGAAAATTGAACAAAAGTAAATCTAAAATGTGCTTTATATAAATAAATTATTATTATTATTATTACTTTACAACATTAACTTCACAACACTAGTATTCCACAAGTGCCAAAAACTGAGGCAAAAGCCCATAAGGTGGCCCAGAGCTAAACTTAAACTACAGTAAACTACAGTAAACATACAATTTATTAGAATTGCATACCTTTTTACAGTACAAGCCTCATCTGCATATTTTATTTTGGTGTACAGTACATCGAGCTTAAGTTTTATTGTTTAAGTGCAATTGTAAACAATTTTTTATAGGTGTGTTTTTGGTCAATGCAATTACAATATAGCCTGTTTTTAATGCTTCGTACTAAACCAGATTTTAATTGTTTTTTCAGATCTTTTGTGTTTTATCATTGCACTTTTGAGTATTTTACTATTTGTATTACTGTCTACTCTTTGGAATAATGTCTAAATCACATCAATTAATGTTTGTTTTGGCGATGGTCTCTGCACTGTTCCTAATGTCGGTGAAAAACTGGCTGAACGCTTCATCTGACAGTTGGAGGTCATGAAATGGCAAAATCACTAAATTCAGATTTGGGCAACATTAAGCATAGTATATGCTAACACTCCTGTTTTGACCGAGAGACTCCCGTTTTGCTGACCTGTCAATTTTTTTTCTTACGTTTTTCACATGGTCTCCCAGTTTACAAGGAAAATTGCATACGTAGGCGTACTAAATCCTAATTATATTGTCTTTTTTGCAATAAAATACTAGGGAAAAAACCTCAAAATTATTAGGTTATCTTTCAATATTTTGCTCATCAACACCACAGCATAGCCTCTCCGTGAGTGCGAGAGAGGTGGATGTGAGCGCTGCAAAGTCACGCTATTGTCCTTGTATACACAGGCTGGATTATGATTACAAGGTGTCTGGTAAGCGTAAGAATCATGATTAAATTGCTAAAGCTTCCAGGAGGTTAAAACCCATTCAATCCCATGTATGGGGAGACCACGGCAACATTCCCCAACCCCCTTGGTGGCACTTCGTGCCAAATTCTGTCATTTTTTAATATCAAAATGTTGGCATATACAGTATGCAGGGCTAAATTGCAAAGTATGATCTCACTAATTATTTGTGGCAACCATTACCATACTATCAGATAAAATGCACTCAAGACTTGAACAATTAACGCCAATTGTAGCTAGGAAAGGGTGGCTGGGGAGCCTGGGAAATGTGTGCCATTGAGGTACGTCATTAAGAAGCCAGGGGTTGAGATGTCATTGAACTCAATCAATCACACTTTACTCTCTACATGTAGTCCACTGTATACTGGGGAGATTACATCATCACCATATCATGGAAAGCCTCGGTAGTGACCTGTCAAGCGAGATTGTCCAGTGAGCGGAGGAGGCTGTCCCCCTACTTCATGAAAGAGAAAGGAACAGACAGCACCGATGGCCCTTCTCCTCTAGCAGGAAAGAAAGAAAAAAGCTTTTGTGGGAAATGTGGTGTGCATGCAACCGGAGATTCAGCCGACCCATCCCACATCCGGGAGCCTGGGCATCTTTTTTTTTACAGGGAAGGGGGAAGGTGGAACCTTACCAAAGGGAGACACTCTTCCCTGGGCCTATGACTTCCATTTTTACTTTTTTGGCCATTTAAATCAAAGTTTGGTGCTTAGAAGTCTGGTGTTTTCCTTGAGAATTAAAGCAATCGAACCAAGTGCCTTTACTTTATCTGGATTCGAACATCACAAACATTTAAAAGAAATAAGCCCTAGCTAGTGCTGGAAAAGTGCGAGTAAAAAAAAATCTGAGCCGCACCCCCACCCCAACAACCTAACCCTCTTAATTATTAGTCTTTCACTCAGACCTGAGACAGGGAGATCATGTTCCCTCACTGAAGTCAGGGAGCAAGGGGAGCAATCCGAATGGAGGTGGGTGTTGCGCTGGGATCCACCCCAAACAACAGCCCTCTCCAGGCCCCATGTGTGAGAGTGCTCCATCAACATAAGATACCGACAGGATGAGCTGCTTGCTTGAGTGAGCTGGCTCGAATCAGGATTGATTTCATGCATGTAAAATTCACAAGAAGTAGAATAAAATAGTAAAAAACGTATATTAATAACAAATTAGACACAATGCAGTACCTGTATATGTAAGCGGTAAGTGTATACGGTTCTTCTGTGTTGAATCTTCTTTCAGAGGCCTAGGCCTACCTAGCTAGGCTAGTTTCCAGCTGTAGCAGCTTCTTGCAGGGCCAGGGCCGTGAGCTGCCCCGTGTGAGCAAAGTACTTCAAGAGGGCGCTCCAACCAAAGTGGCAATTGTTGTCCACCTGATTAATGATCACATGATCAAAACAAAAGGCGTTGACTTGACTTTTTTGCAGGAAAGATGGGTGTGTGTTCAATAAATTCCACCAATTTCACTTATTTCCACTCAATTGATATAGCAACTACAGTATTGTTAATTTGTCTGAAACTCACATAAGTACGTTAGGCTGCATTTTTTGATTTCAATTTTCCTTTTTTATTCAAAATGAAAAGGACTGTGTAGCTTGGTCCTGAGTGAGGAGCATGGAGTTATAGTCACAAAAGAATTATATAACTCCATGGTAGGAGGAGGCTAGAGTAGGTCCGACTCCTAGGCCGTCTAAAAAGCAATGAGGTGGTATATATCACCTTTGTAGTTTAAGCCATGAACTCATGTAATAGAGACAGTTAATCAGTTCATTTATTTTTGATTACTTATTTATACTCATTATAAAATGCATTGAACCAAGTGTGTGTGTTTGCACTCGGCGTCCTAAGTTGGAAGAAGTCAATTCTGGGCGAGACATTGGCCCCTCGCCTGGGAACTCTTATGCCCCGTCAGGCAAATTATGGCTCCTCTAGATGGCCAGAACCAGACTAAAATTAGAATATATTTTCTTTTTCTCTCCATTTAAAAAAAAAATTATGACAAA